TGTCCACACTATTACTGTGACCCCCAGAAACTGTGAACTCCAGAAATACGTATACTTATGTAATTTCCTTGCAATTCAAACCAACTAAACAGCAGCAGTTGGGAGTTTGCACACTCCTGAATTTTGTGTTGAACTATACACAACTGTCCTGTGAGAATCAAATCAAAGTGTTTGTAGCTTTGTTAGTTTCACAGTAATAAGTATTTGAGCAGTGTGGTCATATAGTTTACATGGTTGCATGGCCTGCTGCAAATCTGTAGTTCAACACCTTCTCTAACCTCAGATTGGCCAGGTGGTCTCCCTTCTACAAATTATTTGTAGTTAAATGTGCTCCCAGAAATTTAGATCAGAGGAAATAAATCTTAACAAAGGTTAAATTAATTTTACTAGAGGGTAATCATGTTTCTAAACATTTAGTGAAGCAGGGCAATTCTAATATTACTATTGACTGATCCATTTGTTTATTTATTTGAACACTTTTTTATCCACTGCATTATGGGGTTACCACTCAGTGATGGATGGAGGTAGTGACAAAACTTCAGAAGGAATACTATCAAGGTCAACATTATAAACAAATCACAGTCTTCTTTTGCTTCTTGTTTCACAATGGTGTCCTTTGAATCCAGGCTGATAAGCACAAACATAACTGTTCACTCAGTCAGCACAAGTACCACTGTTTACACAGGGATTATTGGAACACTCATTGATATCATTAAAGCTTTTGTATGGCTTGCTCTTCTGACCCCTTGTCAAGCATTATTTCTTTACACTTTTCTCCAGAATGTTTGGAAAAATTTGTGTAAATCCTTGGTAGACTTCGGAACTTAGGGAAGCAGTTCTAACAGACAACTTAAAATGGTTTGGTTGCAATCAAGTTAACTGATAAAAGATAAACAACATTTGCTCATGATTCTCCCTTCCAACATCATCAAGAATTCTTACCTCATTGACTGTAATAATCACCTCCATTGTATCAAAATAAAAATAAGTCAATTCCTCGTTATTTCTTAATAAACTTCTCTAGGACCGCACTAGTTAACAAATGGTTCAGTGGTCACCAAATACACTGTATGTCTAGCTAAATCTGCAAGGATCTCTGATTATTATAAAGACCTTTTTAGAATATTTCAGAATAGTGCCTGTTTCAGAGCCTTACAAAAAGTAAAATAAAAAACTGAAATGTTCCAACCAATCATGGTGATAATATTTCAGTTTTAAAATGTCTTAATATGCATAAAAAACCCCTTTTTAGGGAGGTACAGAAAATGTGTGTACAACCCATTTGGCAAACTTCCAAACATTCACCATGGATACTGTATCTACAAAGAATAAACTGATTTGCAAGAGGCAAATAAAAATTGTAAACTTTTAAGCAGAAAACAGTTGTAAGAGTCATGCAAACCAGTAATCACATCTAGGGTCAGTCTCATATTTTCAGGATGGAACACAGCTGTGAAAAACAACAACTTTCTATTACTTTTTCAAGAGCATAAACAAAAACAGTGCAACGAATTCATACAGGCAAGCAAGGCTTCAATATAGTTGACAAAATTGATGAAAGTTACAAACATTTATTGGCTTGCAAAAAGTAATTTAAAACATTTGCTTAACCATGAACTAAAATTTCAGAATAATTCCAGAGACAAAGAATCATTTTCTTAATTCCCTTTTTTTCTAAATAAATGGTCTGAAGGAATTAGCCCAACCATACTTTTTTGGCCATGAAAATTTCATTTTCAGTGTGGGATAGTCATAAGATATCTTTTAAACTGAAACATTAAATATTTCAAGGATTATTAATAATTCTTTCAGTCTGTCTACTCCCTCTGATGCATGCATGCAACTATAGATCAGTGATGCAATTAGATCAGCTGCCTTTTATGAAGTTGAAAAGAAGTTGTCCCATCCAAATTATTTTCTGCCAAGAAGCGCGATATCATGGACTTTGACTGGTGAGTACTGAGAATATAGTCTAGTGTGTTTACGTATAATAAATTGATAATTTAATCGTAAGATGGAAAATTCTTCACTTTTTCTGAAAGCAGTTTTATTATGGGGAGGTGGGGTGTAAAAACGTGCTGTAACGACTGGATAATATTAAAATAAATAGAATATAGCTGACTTGGTTTTAGTTTTAGACCGCGAACACTTATTGACACTGAAGCTTCCTTGAAATGTTAATAGAATAGAATTAAATGCGAGTAACGAGCAAAATTATTGTTCAGACGTAAGCGAGAATACGATTCAACCTCAGTTTTCTAAACACAATTTCAAGTTAGATAATTAAAATTAAACCTTTCTTCACGTTTTTCCAACCGAATAAACTAATAAATAGTAGTTCCAGCAGTATTACTTCGGTTGGCTAGGAGTGAATTGAGCATTTCTCTGGAAGCTAATAGTCAAACTTGAATCACCAGTTGAAATACTTTATCATGTGTCTCAACTTGTTTCGCTGGCTTGGTATTGAAATAGCCGAACAAAACTAAAAAATACATTTTGCTGACCATAAGAGATTCCTGGTAAGAGCGGAAGTCTAAGAACCTCTGTACGGGCCCAAACACAAAGACACAACGACCGACCGCCATTTTAAAAAAGCTCACCTCGCCTTTCACCAACGTGAATGTTGCATTTTTTCTTCACTTTATTTCTGGGGAGTGTTGAGTGAAGATTCTACAGAGTTTTCACTGCAGCAGGGATAGTAATTCCTTGGTACGTGTTGGTAGGAGTTCCGGAAAA